ATACTGACTCCCAGCAGTCAGTTAGAACTAGGAAGCTTCTTGGATGAGAGGTGAAGCGTCTTCAAAAACCTCAGTTGGCCTGTTTTTTGAGAATCTCCACAGACAGCTTCAACATCAGTTAAAAGTTTACCCAACAGCAGAACAATGTAAGGGATGTGTGGCCTGGTATGAAGAAGATTATAGGTTTTAAGACCAAGAGGAATCATCCTGGGGCAAAAACTGGACACGGCTGTTGAGCCGCTGTGGTGTCTGAAATGCCATGTGTTGTTTTTCTTTTTTGAGGAAGTTGATTGATGAGTCAGAAATCTATAGGCCCTGATAATCTGGAGGTCCATGTGCTTTTGTTCCCTGAGAAAAGCTAAGTATGGGCATTAGGTCAAGGCTCTAACCAACGCTCTAAATTTGGGCTGGCGCCTGGATTCCTTGTAGGGGAACCAGATATGTTTCTTTAGGTTTACGATGACAACTCTCCAATATAAACGAGGAGTTGGAGCTGTTAGGGAGAAGAGATTCACATTGGCTCTGAATCTCTCTCCAGGCAGACTGCAGTGCTTGTATTGATGCTGAACTTCTTACTATAAACCTTTTATATAAGCAAGATGGTGTCAGCGGAGATCCCCTCATCATCTTCACATCATCGCCACTCAATATACAACACCGCTCTTTGACATTTCAGCCCAGGGCAAACACTTCACCCCACATGCACAGCACACCAGAGTGACCACATGCAGCTTGTAGCAGACTTGTTTTTTAAGTCGCTCATACAGGTTATATGATCTTTTTAGACATGTTCTCCCTTAAATCACATCTCAAGCTTTTCGGATTGTCGTTTGATCATCCATATTTTTTCTGATCCATGTTTCGCCTTTTTTATTTCTCATGCATTTATTCTCTTTTTCTAATTTCCTATTAAATATATATATATATATAGTCGCCAAAGTGCTGCTCATTGTGGGAACTGTTGGGTTTCTCTATATTAATACGATTTTAAGGTCTTGACCTGCTATGTAAAGTGCCTTGAGATAATGTATATTATGATTTGGCACTATACAAATAAAATTGAATTGAAATTGATTTAATGTCATAAAACAGACATGTCAGTCATTAATTCAGGGTATTGAGAGACAGATGCCACGCATGATTTGTGTTTGTAGTTGCCAAGCCAACAGGAGCAGCAGTATTGTTTAACCTCGCGATCAGCTGATCACAGTCTCCAGACCCAATTTAAAAACTCTTTATTCCTCCCTCCTTCGGAAAGTGAGCTGCTATTGTTGCCATGGTGCAGGTGAGCACCTATCTCAACCCACAGTGTTTTGACTGAGGCCATTAGATCTGAGTTGATGATGCAATCTTCTACCTCATTCAACAGGCCTTTCTCGTCTTAACAACACCTGTCAACATGTTGACTTTCAAATTCATTACTACTCTCACAAGTCATTAGAACAGTGAACAGCAAACATTCAAACTGTTAAAATCTATCTGATCATTTTATCTTTATACTTTTCATTTCTTAGTTTTATCTTCACTTGGTGGAGATGGGTTCTAATAGTTAGTAGATACAAACAGGTTTGTAAGTATTGACTGTATTTTAACCTCCATTTACAATCTGCATCAATGAGGCATCTTTTTTTTGTAAAATAAAACTTACTTYACACACTCTAACAAACATAATAAAAATATCTGCAATCTCTCTACTGCAAAAGTATTACGACAGCTGGTTGCAGTACTACAAACTTTGAGGCATGAGGAAAAAACTTGTGGGGCAGAACTCCAATAAAACACCCAACTAAAGGAGCAGATTCTTTTTGATCTTTTTAAAAAGCAGCATTCTGAAACCTCAATGTGGACCAATTCAACCAAAAGACTGATTGTTTTAATGTTCAAGCTTCCTATTCACAGAGTTCTCGAAAAGTCAGTCGGCAAAGAGAGGATGAAGAATGTTGTTTGACCACAAGGCTATTTTCAAAGCTCTGTCACAGGAAGGTCACTATGAAGCAAAAGGTTCTGCCTTTCAGGAAAGTTTGAACATATCAACCATTTCAAATGAACGTCGCAGGAAACCACTACACTCTTTCCAAAATGATTTCACAGAATATATATTTATAAAGCAGGCAGCACTGTGAAAATCCGTTCCCTGTTTTGTCTTTGTCATGCTTATTTTATCCTCACAAAATACAATGAATATTACCAATAAAATCTGTACGATGTCATCACTGCTCTGGACATGGACGCTATGATGAGCACGATCTATGCGTGGTTGGATAACCCAGTGAAGTTTGAGAAGTCGCATGGAGTCAATAACACCCTGGATACTGAGATCATCCCAAAGTCAGACCATGAGGAAGAGGAGGAGACTCACATCCTCATTGTGGAGGGTTTCTTGCTTTACACCTACAGACCCTTGATCGACGTGCTGAACCAGCGTTTCTTCATTTCCATCCCATACGAAGAATGCAAAAAGAGGAGGTGCTCCAGGAACTACACTGTGCCAGACCCCCCCGGCCTGTTTGATGGTCTTGTCTGGCCCATGTACTTCTAACACAAGAACATCATGGAGACATCACATATCCCATTAATCAACTGCTGGATCTATCTACCAATCCATCCTTCTTTATTTGATGTTTTCATTCTCTGCAGGACTAACACTAAATTGTTGTAGGCATGAAGTCTTGCAGCAGGTGAAAAGGCACTATCTCTTATAAATGGAGAAGATGGTGTGTGATAATGATTTAAATCCTTATTAAATAAGGCTTAAAGGAGCCAACACTAATCTTCGTGTCAAACTCTGACGCTGAGCCAAGGTTGTTCGGAGCCACAAAGCAGCGATGGATCAGAGCGGTGTTTGTAGAAAGTTGTTTAACAACTCACAGTAACCGCTCCATGACATTACAAACCCATCATGATGTGGTGTGTCACTGTCACACAACAATTTCACTATTTTAGTCCGTCAGATGTTGTAATGTCGATATTCACAGGGCAACAGCAGGGAAGAGCTGGCAGCTGCAGTCAGGACTGGTTTGTTTACAATATAGCAAGAGAAAAGTTTCACAAGATCTTTTGCAACACTCAAAATTGGTAACATTAGATATACAGTTAAATATATTCTTCTTGTTCTTTGAGTCAACAAACAACAAAACAGTGCAGACTAATCCTGTCGGACAAGTGACAATAGTCATTTGGCAACAGGTCAAAGATGCTGTCTAGATGAGCAGCAACTGATGGATTAGTCGTTTAAAGTTTCCAGAAGAGACAATAACAATGAGCCTGTCTCACAGTGAGAACTCATCAGTTTTAATCTAATTTGGATTTGGTTACAGGGTCAGAAGCTTTTTTATTAATCTCTGTCAATGGTCGAGGTCAAGCACATACACACATACATTTAAGACTGCAAAGCAGGTTTAGCATCTCTCTGCTAATTTGGAAGTTAATTTTAATATTGACAAACGGATCTTGGACATTTTTGATCTAATCAGCATTTGTCTTCCACATGTTCACCACGGGTTTACCACGGGTTTGTGTCCCAGTTGTTCTTCACTTCACTGACTATAAAAGCCAGAAGAAATACAGGTAGGTCTACATTCTCAGATGCATGCACAGCAAAGTGTGTGTTTGCTTAATGGCCATGAGCCTTTGGTTGGTGATTTTATTCATGTGTAATAAATGCTCTACGTACTATTACTTTTTGAACTGCCTTGTTTCCTCATACTGCTTAGCATATCTTTCCATTAATCTCCATGTTGTTGTTTTTACCATTATTATAAATAATCCCATTCTGGATTACATGAGGATTACAAGAACGTTTAATTTCTTCAGTTGTCTTATTGTGTTTCATCTTGTGTGTATTTATAGGCCCAGTTCCTGAAGCCAAATCTATTTCCTCTTGTAATTAAGATCTAAATTTAACTGATTGCTTTCCCAAAATGAACCGAGCTTGTAAATAAAAGCTCACTGACAAGATTGGAGATGACAGAAAGCTGTCTTCTTACATTTATTGTAACATGCAACAGGTTTATAATCACGTTGCTTAAGCATTTGAAACATTTTAAGATTCCACTCCTCAAGACTGTTTTCAGTCAGACTGTGAAATACACAGACATAGAGTGGATGAAGGGCTGAATGGAGAAATCTTTTGCGGCAAATTCATCTCAGATTACATTTTTAATAGGTTCTTACCTACTACGCTATTTAGACGTTTGATGAGGAATCATTTTCTGATCAATCTAAGTTTTACAATGTCTCTCCAGTCCTAACATTTGCAGAGTAATTGTGTTTTTCACACCATATTTTTATTGACCTTTGATTCGGTCCAAATCATATGGAGATACCGATCCAAACAATAATCACACAAGTTCGGTCAAAATCTGTTCATGCTTTGTTGAGTTATTTTGTACACACACTTCTTTTTAGTGAGGACACTCATCGGCATAATGCATTCCCTAGCCTCTTACCCTAACCCTAACCATCCAAACTAAATACCTAACCCTAACATTAACCTTTAACCTAAACTTTATTCTAACCCTGATCCTAAAACCAAGTCTTATCCCCCAAACAGTCCATTAAAGGGTGGTTACAAAGTGAGGACTGGCCAAATGTCCTCACTCTGTGGGTTGTAGGCTCCAACTGGTCCTCACAAAGATAGCTGTACAAGAGCACACACACACACACACA